TTCCGTTATAGTAAATCATAATTGCGTGTTTAAATTGTTAGGCGCTTATATTTATGAAGTAAAATATACCTTTTTGCGATTTGAAGCGATTGTGCACATGCCAATAAATCTTCTTACGACTTGACTTCATGGCTTTCGTTTGACGTAAAATACACCACTGAAGGCTTATAGCGTCAAAGGTGCAAAACGTTCGGTACAACGATCGCTAATCTACCTGCCAAGAAGCGTACTTTTTAATTTGTTTCTAAATTCAATCATTCTTGACCGTCTTTCGGTTTGAGCTAGTTTTGACCTAAAAAAGTTCATCATGGAGTCATTATTTACATAGTATAAGCTTACATATACAATAATATCTATACAATTAATAGGATATAAAGATTTTATTTTTTATAGAACAAATAATTGACTTACGAGTACATAAAATCAGTGGACAACACACGAGGGACTGTCAATAATTTAGTATCAATATTAACAATTTCGTAATCAAATGGATCTTCATCAAGCAGATTAGCCACCGATATATTTGACATGATGGACATGGTGGTGGATAATCTGTAATTTTTATCATTGTAGTCATCAGATATTTGCTTTTTAAAATAAGCACGGTCAAAACTACTGTCCATGACAGAATTGTGTCTGAAAATAACTTTGCTCGGAGTTTTAGTCGACCTCGGTTCTGCTATATTTTCGTTAGATGTTCTCTGCAATATCAGACATTTGCTAAATAAATACCAAAAATATAATACATGGCAAATTCACTATTTTAAAACAGGGTACCTATTTTATTAACTTTTGTCTAAAGTACAAAGTTAACTTTTGTCTACAAACATTCTATAAGTATACTATTCGTCCCCTATAGTTTTTGAGAGGATACTTGGATCAGAAAAATATATCGCCTTGTATGTGGATATACAATCATTATAGATGTGGTGTCACATTATAAGTGTCAATCATTTTAGGTGTGGTATAGGTTTAAGGCAGATCTTCCAAGCAAGGGGAGCAGCCTATATCCGAAAGTGAATATTTAGGGGCTTTTAAAGCTGATAAATGATGAAGTGTTGTAATAAATATTCCGTTATAGTAAATCATAATTGCAGTGTTTAAATTGTTAGGCGCTTATATTTATGAAGTAAAATATACCTTTTTGCGATTTGAAGCGATTGTGCACATGCCAATAAATCTTCTTACGACTTGACTTCATGGCTTTCGTTTGACGTAAAATACACCACTGAAGGCTTATAGCGTCAAAGGTGCAAAACGTTCGGTACAACGATCGTTAATCTACCTGCCAAGAGCGAGGTTTAAGGCAGATCTTCCAAGCAAGGGGAACAGCCTATATCCGAAAGTGAATATTTAGGGGCTTTTAAAACTGATAAATGATGACGTGTTGTAATAAATATTCCGTTATAGTAAATCATAATTGCAGTGTTTAAAATGTTAGGCGCTTATATTTATGAAGTAAAATAAACCTTTGCGATTTGGACCTCGTAAAATACTTGTTCGATCAGTGATATAAACTAGAAAGGGACTGTTATCACGTCGAGACATCTTAAAATGTATAACATCACCAATTCCACCACTTACTTTTTTCTATTTTAAATGAATTTGACTTCCTACTTACATATGTATGTACAATATCTAAACGACACTATTGACACGGAAACTAATAATTATAATTTAAAATTTAATAAAATTAGTAATTCTTTATAAATAAAGTAAACATTCTTTATGAATAAAGTAAATGGGGCTCTACACTCTATTGTGAAAAGTCATAATGTGTCAAAAAAGGCACGTATGGCAATTCACAATGCTGTATTAGTCCCTACTTTAACATATGGTAGTGAAAGTTGGGTGTGGCAGAAGAAGCACGAGAGTAGAATAAATGCAGTAGAAATGCGGTCGCTAAGGAGTATGTTAGGGCTGAATCTGAGTGACAGGGTGAGAAACTGTGTGATAAAAGAAGAGTGTGGTTTGCAAGATGATGCAGTGACCAGGATTAAGAAAGGAATGCTTCGGTGGTTTGGTCATGTAGAAAGAATGAATGCGGAAAGACTGACAAAGCAAATATATGTTGCAGAAGTGAATGGAAGAGTCGGAAAGGGACGTCCTAGGCGGAAGTTTGTCGACCAAATTGGCGATATACTAAAAGTGGGCCAAATTAAGAGTAAGACTACCCTTAACCGACGAGCATGTATGCGTAGGTATATGGATGTGGAAGGGGCGAGAGAGGTATGTCAGGATCGTGCTAAATGGAAGTCTGTAGTCTCTGCCTACCCCTCTGGGTGACAGGCGTGAGTGTTTATGTTTATGTTTTATTCTTTATCCTATATTCGTGCGTCTCACGGCTGGAACAGGTTATAGCTAAATATGGGTTATAGTGTGTGTGCGCCTGTGTGCGTGATTGCGTGATTGCGTGTGTGTGTGTTTGTGTGTGTGCGTAGAACAGAATCGGAATCAGGTATGGTATTAATTTGATAGTTTAGTGCTAATTAAGTGCCTTCAAAAACACAACTTATTTTTTTACATACGAATATTGAGACAGTTACTTCTGCAACTGCTTCGGCGCTGCGGGAAGTGCAGCTCCTTTGCCCTTGCGTAGCAAATCAAGGCACCCTAGATCACTTCCGCAGCTTCAGCCTCAGGCGCTACGGCTCCGACAGATGCCTGCGATTTGCTATAGCGGGCGGGAGCTGCTCTCCCTGCGCGCCTACGGCTTTACAAAATCACTCTAAGGGTAGGGCTGACAAGACTATTTGGAGTCGGGTCGTTCTGATTCGGTTGTAGTACAAATTTGGCCTATCTTCTATGTATTTTATAGTAAGGTAATGGTGGTCCTGGACCCAATAACTCCCAGAATATTACCGTCATCTATTAATCTTTCAGCACTTAATTCCTTGCTATTAATATTTATCGTATATCTATTATCATCTCTGTGTTGCTAGCGATACGTTTTGCCAACAACGCAATTTTGGCGTTTTCCATATGAAAATTCCTGACTTTGTGTTGCTGCCGAGACACAACTGTTTTTAAATACGTGTCCCCATAAATAAAACACAAGGAAGACACTAAATCGCTATTTAAACTTGTACCTTGTGGATTGTCCATATAAAAATCATTACTGAAACTGAAACTTATAGCAAATTGTATACTTTTTACGTTTTATTTAATGTTGGAATTACATTTTATAAATTCCTTTTTTTCTTCCAACGAAAATCTGACAAAAATAAAATATTCGCATCCGGCGTGCGTCATTTATAAAATTCTCTCCACTTTATTACTAAATCTCTCTGAACACTTATCTGTTCCACAGATCGATGACTGATATACCTTAAAATGTTTAAACCTTTACTATTTTTAATGAACTATTGACATTTTATAGGTCAATGATGTAAACATTTATGCTAAAAGAAAACAATCCAGTAAGATGCCCCAATAAATATATATTTTATATTTTTGTGCAAACGAACAGTATTTAAATATTAACGAATAAATCTTTCAATAGAAACCCAAAAAATTTCAACATTACTATGCCGATATATTGAAAATTTTATGAATGATTGTGAATTAGATGTTATTAATTTAATTATTTTATTCACGCTAGGAGGATTTAGCCACGATAAAATATTTTTACACTTGTCAGCTTCGCTCGCTGTTTCTTTTGCAGATTCCGATGAAGCAGGTTTAGTTGGGGTTTCAGGTTTTGGTTCAGTATTTTGACATTTTGATTGACTAACAAATTGGCGATCGTAGTACGGAAAGTACTGCGCTCGCTGCCCCCTTCGCCAATCTATGTCATTTCAATGAATTCTTCTATTATTCAATAAGGGAATGGCGGTCAATCCTAAAACAATAATTTTCTTCTGGCCAGAATTATCACTATATCTATTCCGAAACAAAATAGAAGTCAGTAGAAGAAAGACCTAGGGAGTAAGGAGTCAGGAAGAGTTTCAGGTCTGTGGTCCTGCAATTTTTAGGCAATCCATATGCATATTACAAAGTCGACTTTGTCGTCACCGTTTGCAATTCTTGATATATCCGTACAGGAGCTCAAAAAGCTGTAATAATTAATGGTTACGGTATATCACCGACCTGAATGATCTGCTCAATTTATTTCTGGGATATGGTTTGCTGTGTCTCTTGTGTCTAATTATTTTTTCAAACACAATACATTTTTCATCACAAACAATAAACCGATTCATCCCCCGTTTTTGAGAGATAATTAAAAAAAACTTATAAAGTAAAGTATTAAGCAAATATACTTAAGTAAAACTTTAATTAAAACTATTTAGTAAAAAAGAAGAAGATGAATCATTTCAATTAGTTCAATAACAAAGAAGTTATGCTCGAACAAACGTAAATATGAAATAAAATATACACAGATGAATTAAAAAACCTCCAACTTTTTTGACGCCGGTTAAGGCAAATCTTTAAAAACACTTCATAGTCATTTAATGTCTTTTAAAATATAAAGGCACGTTTTATGACGAACTCTTTTTTCACAGGAAGTAGACCTAATACGGTCCTGAAGGTTTGATGAAAAATTTAATTGCCTTCATTATGACGACCAAACGCCAAATGCTCAATATCTCAGTGATCGCGAAGATGACAACTGGTAGCGATCACAGAATGGTATGAAGCACACTGAAACTTAAAGTCAAGTTGGAGAGGTCACGTCTAAGAAGTAAACGCTCCGTCTCAATTCGTCAAAGGCTAGAAAACTATTAGGTCGAATAACAAAATAGTTTCAATGAACGTAACGTGAGTTTCAGTTCCTAGAAGATTACTATACAATGAATGGTACAAATGCCACGCTCGTGAAAACTGTCCTTACGGTCGTAGCTAAGTTCTGCTCGTTGCAGAAACTCGCCGCAGAAGAACGCAGAAACTTTTTTTTAAATCTTATTGCATAAGACTTGAAATGTAGTTTAAGTCTTTAAAAGATATGACAGCATACAGACAAGTGAAAAGACTCTTTAAACTCCAAATATTTTGCCTGAAATATGACCGTTAAAGCGATTACTAATTTTGGAGGGTAAATTATCATTAGATTCGTCTTCTTTTCAGGTGATATACCGTCAATATTTTATAGCAATATTATCCAAGCCAAGTGCATAACAAGCTACTTAGAGCTTGATTGGTCGTATTCTGAGGTACACGTTATTTGATTTCTTTATGACATATTACAGCAGTCGTAATTTTAAAATACGCTTTATATGATATTGACCTGTAGGTACCTTTTGTATATGACCATGTATGTATTATTATGTGATTGTAATGGAATATAGCAATTAAGATTATACTCACTTTAAAGTATACTGCTGAACATAGACCTCCTCCCCCCCCCCCAAGGAATAGCACGGACCCGAAAGCATTAATAGAGCCATGCTATATTATTATGGTTGTAGCACGAATGGCTCGACTCGACCGGTGGAGGACATCACACTAGCAGAATAAAATAACAGCTTAATGCTGTTGTGTTTATTATGGTGTGTGTAGTGAACCGGAGACCCTTTCACTGAAAACGAGGTATTCCATCTTAGTCTTCAGGGGTGACACCGCATCTGCATTTTCCTTAGCCGAGGATAGATTTAGATGTCTATAGTCCACAGCATCCACCTATCATTAGATAGACTATGTACTTATTTGTTACCCTTATTCTACGAAAAAACGATATTTGACATGTGTTTGTGTACATTCGTTCTACTGACTGGCATACAGTATGTATTACACAATCGTTATTGAGTCATCGGCCTTTGTATAGAATTGTATACATCGACAATATTCGTCAGTATTTCATTAAAATTAAATATAATTTGAATGTAAGCAAAAATAAAAAACATATCCATTAACTCATTTATAGGAGTATACTAAAAGTCCACTGATAAAATGACGTCTGTCATAGATTGCCTCATAAGGAGAATATTGCCATATTTGCCACGCTTTGCAAGCGAGTTAGCAATCGCAGTTTTTTTATTTTTAGTAGTGGATCAGGACAAGACACTGCTGCCTTTTTCCTGAATTGTTGCCCACGGAATGATATGGGGTATTGAATATTGTTGCATGAATAAGTCAACTAGCGCCATCTAGTATCAGGAACGAGAGCGAGGGGAGCATTGAGAAAATGACATCACAAATTACTCAACCGACAGCGCCTAGTCGAAACTCGAACGCTCGGTACCTTGCCCGTGTTTACTTGAACATTCTGGATATTTCTTTGCTGATTCAAATATATAGGCGCTGCAAAATGCGATCGAGGTAGTGTGGATTTGGCGAAACAAGCGAAGCTTCGGAGTGGAATTAAGTGAATTAGTGTCTTTAAATTATTAGTGTTTTAACTTTAATTGTGTAAAGTAAATTAAAGTGTTAATTTAGGTAATTTTATCGGCAATTTTTATTGTCACGAACCTCAAGCTCGTAACAATTGGTGTCAGAAGTGGGATAAAATCATGCCGATTTTACCTAAGGAGGAAACGGAGGGTGTCCGTACCCGCAGTCAACGCCAGCATGAGACGGACCAGAGGAGATTTGGTGGTGCAACGCCACAGACGTCGGAGGGCCAACTGCCAGCCACGGAGGCTGCGGGCCCGTCATTAGCTCCTACACCTGCAGCACCTGACTTAGGTGCTCTGATGGCGATGCTACAGGAGCAGCTGCAGCGCGGACGAGAGGAACAGGCCCGTCTGTTAAAAGAGCAGCAGGAGGAACAGGCTCGCCGACAGGAGGAACAGGCTCGCCGACAGGAGGAACAGGTCCGTCGGTTGGAAGAGCAGCTGCGGGGCGGCCAGGAAGAACAGATGCTTCTCATGAAGGACCTTCACGCTACCTTCGGGAAAGAGATAAGGGAGGTGAAGGATAAGGTTGCTCAACATGATAACCGCCTGTCGGAAGCTGAGACCCAAATCAACCAAGTTAAGAAAACGCTGGATGAACTCAAACTTGGGGATGGAACCACAGCTCCCGTAGTAGCTTCAGCACCTTCGCTACGTGGGTTCAAGGTGCCACCGTTTAACGGGGCTTCTTCCTGGTCAGCCTACAAAATCCAGTTCGAGGCTGTTATGAAGGCGAACGGCTGGAATAAAAGTCAGGCCATGACTGCTCTCACACTAGGCCTGCGCGACCAGGCCTTAACAGTTCTGGAAGCTCTCGGTGAGGAAGTGACTTATGAGCAACTCCTTGAGGCATTGGAGGCGAGATATGGCGACGCTCACCTGGAACACGTCTTTCGTGCGCAGCTTAAAGATCGTGTGCAGCGCATCAACGAAAACCTGCAGCAGTGGGCTATAGAAGTGGAGAAACTGGTGCGAAAAGCATACCGGTCTGTACCTGCGCTCATTGAAGGGAACCTGGAGCAGACATTCATCGACGGCATCCGCGACCTGGAAGTCAGAGCTGCTGTGAGGCTCGGGCACCACGAGACGCTTAAGGACGCCTTGGCCCATGCACTGGAAGTGGAAGCCGTGCGGCAGGATCATCGTTCCCATCGCGTCAGGGAGGTTGCAGCAGCTACAGTTCGCGACCGCAACAAAGGATACAGCCCAAGGTGCTATGGCTATGGGGAAAAGGGCCATCTTCGATCCAGCTGCCCTAAGCGAACCCTAGAAAGGGAAATTGAACGATCTCAGGAGGGTAGCGCGGCCAACAGCACCGCCCAGCAGCGGCAGGGAAACGAGTAAAAGCCAGAACTGCGGGGCGGGTGCTGGCTGATGTTAAAAGAGCCCCAAGGATCTCGATCTCACAAACCCATGATGGGAACAGCCTAATCATAAAGGGCGAGATCAACGGAATGCCGTGTAAGCTGACCATAGACACTGGAGCCTCTCGTACGGTTGTTAGTTCCCAACTTATAAGTCAGTTCCTTGGGGACTCCGCATACAACCGAGAAAGCATTAATTTGGTAACAGCCACCGGTCAGCGTATACCCGTCCGTGGAGAGAAGGAGATGGAGTTGAAGCTAGGCAACGTGATCTACCTGCATAATGTCATCGTGGCTGATATAATGGACGACTGCATCCTAGGCCTAGACTTTATGAGGAATAATTGTTGTGAGATCGACGTTAAGCAAGGTGTTTTGAAATGTGGACAGGAGGAACTTTTTATGGAAGGTGCGTTACCAGGGAACGTGTACAGCATCAAGAAGATTGTTCTTCCGCCGAGATCGGAAACGATTGTTCCGGTTAGTCTTCCACGAAACGCTGGGCAAGCTCACCGTTGTGTACTTGTGGAAAGGGTAAACAATGACCTTCCATGGAAAGTAGCTCGAACCTTGGTCAGGACCACTGACATCTCAGGAGTACGTGTGCTGAACCTTTGCGACCGGGAACAGGTTATAGAAAAAGGTACACTGGTTGGTACTTGTGAGGAAGTGGATTGGTTACGTCAGTGCCAATATATATCGAGTGGGACCCCCAGCAAGGATTCAGAAACGAGAGTGACCACACTTTTGGAAGACTGTCGCAGTGTTCTGTCCCCGAACGAATTGGTGAAGGCGAAGAAGTTGTTACTCGAGTACGCCGATGTATTCTCATCAAACGATGCTGACATAGGAAAGACTGGTTTAGTTCAACACAAAATAAACACAGGTGAAGAGTTGCCTATCCGTCAGCGGCCAAGACGATTGCCGGTAGCACGTGAAAAGGAAGTGGAAACCATGATTGAGGGAATGGTGAGGGATGGTGTTATTGAACCTTCATCTAGTCCATGGTGTTCACCCGTGGTACTGGTAAAGAAGAAGGATGGCAGCATGCGGTTCTGTGTTGATTACCGCCGTCTGAACGACGTTACAAAGAAGGACAGCTATCCCTTGCCAAGAATTGATGACACGCTGGACATGCTTACAGGAGTAAAATGGTTTAGCACGCTGGATCTAAAAAGTGGCTACTGGCAAGTTGAAATTGACCCTAAGGACAAGGAGAAAACTGCGTTCTCGACGGGAAAGGGTCTGTGGCAATTCAAAGTAATGCCGTTTGGGTTGTGCAATGCTCCAGCAACGTTTGAAAGGCTGATGGAACTTGTACTTACCGGGCTAATTGGCGATGCCTGTCTGGTCTACTTGGATGACATCATCATCGTGGGCCGTACGTTTGAGGAACACCTTCAACACCTGGAACGCGTGCTCATGAAGATTAAGAGTGCCAACCTTAAGTTGAGTCCGAAGAAATGTTCACTATTCAAACGGCAAGTCAACTTTTTGGGGTATGTAGTGTCGGAAGAAGGTATCCGCACGGATCCAGAGAAAATCGCAGCTGTAAAGGATTGGCCGGTTCCAAAAGACAAGACGCAGGTTAGAGCATTTTTGGGTTTGTGCTCCTATTACCGACGTTTTGTGAAGAACTTTGCAGATATAGCCAAACCTCTGCATAAGCTAACCGAGGAGAAGCGACATTTCTGCTGGGATGAAAGTTGTAACATCGCATTCCAGGAGCTCAAGGACCGTCTGTGCAAAACACCTATTTTGGGATACCCTGATGCAAGCAAAAGAATTTATAGTTGACACAGACGCAAGTGATATAGGACTTGGCGGTGTGTTGTCTCAACGTAATGGTGACCAAGAGGTCGTGATAGCGTACTTCAGCAAGTCGTTGTCAAAACCGGAAAGGAACTACTGTGTCACAAGACGCGAATTGCTAGCTGTGGTAAAGTCGTTGCAACATTTTAGCAAATATCTTCTGGGACGAAAATTTCACTTACGAACTGACCATGCTGCACTAAAATGGCTATTGCAGTTTAAAAACCCAGAAGGACAAGTTGCGAGGTGGATTGAACTACTGCAGGAATACGACTTTGAGATCGAACATCGCAGCGGGAAATCTCATGGCAACGCAGATGCATTGTCAAGAAGACCTTGTCCTGAAGATTGCAAACATTGTACTAGGCAAGAGAGTAAGGAAGTGGTATCCGTGAGGATGCTCAGGGCAGACCACCTCAGCAACGAGTGGAAGGACAGCTTACTACATGCACAGCAGGAAGATCCGGACATCAAGCCGATTCTGGAATGGATAAAGGCCAGTGCTCCCAAGCCCAAGTGGAGTGACGTCTCAGCGATGAGTTCGACCACTAAAAGCTATTGGGCCCAGTGGGACAGCTTGCTGCTTCAGGATGGAGTTCTGTGTCGTAAATGGGAAAACGTTCGGGGAGACAGCTGTCATTTGCAAATGGTTGTCCCTAAAGTTAAAGTACCGGATGTTCTACAGCTGTACCATAATGATTGTTCAGGAGGCCATCTGGGAGTTAAACGAACTCTACTGAAGATCCGAGAACGGTTTTACTGGGTCCACTGTCGAAACGATGTCGAGGACTGGTGTCGCAAATGTACAAGTTGTGCGGCTGTAAAGGGACCTCAGACTCGTAGTAGAGGTGCATTGAAGTTGTACAATGTTGGTGCACCATGGGAGAGAATAGCCATTGACGTGGCGGGGCCGTTTCCGGAGAGTGAAAGCGGTAACAAGTATTTCATGGTTGTGATGGATTACTTCACTAAGTGGCCAGAAGTCTTCGCCATTCCAAATCAAGAAGCTTCAACAGTTGCAGATAAACTAGTTCATGAAGTCTTCTGTCGTTTTGGAGTACCTTTAGAGATTCACAGCGATCAAGGAAGGAATTTTGAGTCTCAAATATTCCAGGAAACTTGCCGAGTTATGGGTACTCATAAAACAAGAACGACTTCTTATCACCCGCAATCTGATGGAATGGTGGAACGATTTAATCAGACATTGGAGAGGTACCTAGCAAAAGTTGTAGACAATCGGCAACGAGATTGGGACAAGCACATACAACCGTTTTTGTTGTCATATCGAAGTTCTGTTCACGAAAGTACAGCAGTGACACCAGCTTTCGCAAACTTTGGAAGAGAATTACGGCTGCCTGCAGACCTGATCACCGGGATACCACCCGATGCTCCACGCAGTATAACCGATTATGCAAATGACTTGCGGAAAAAAATGAATGACGTTTATGAGCACGTCAGACAATCGGGCCAGCAAATGTCTGAAAAGATGAAAACCCGGTATGACCGCAAAATGAACAACAAAGGATTCGACGAAGGTTCACTTGTGTGGTTGCACAATCCAGTCCGCAGCAAAGGGAAATCTCCTAAGCTTCAAGCTAAATGGGACGGCCCGTACCGGATTGTAACCAGGATCAACGATGTGACCTACCGGATACAGAAAGGCGCAAGAGGGACTCCTAAGATCGTCCATGTGGATCGCTTGGCGCGTTATTATGGGACCGATAATGCTCGGGACGAGCATGTCTTAGGAGGGGGCAGTGTTGCATGAATAAGTCAACTAGCGCCATCTAGTGTCAGGAACGAGAGCGAGGGGAGCATTGAGAAAATGACATCACAAATTACTCAACCGACAGCGCCTAGTCGAAACTCGAACGCTCGGTACCTTGCCCGTGTTTACTTGAACATTCTGGATATTTCTTTGCTGATTCAAATATATAGGCGCTGCAAGATGCGATCGAGGTAGTGTTGATTTGGCGAAACAAGCGAAGCTTCGGAGTGGAATTAAGTGAATTAGTGTCTTTAAATTATTAGTGTTTTAACTTTAATTGTGTAAAGTAAATTAAAGTGTTAATTTAGGTAATTTTATCGGCAATTTTTATTGTCACGAACCTCAAGCTCGTAACAATATTATTGACACCGCCACTACCCAGCAATCAAAAGTACGAAATACTAGTAAGCAACCTGTACTAAACAATACTTCAATCTTTAGTAAATATTTGTATGCATGAAATTTAACTTAGTTGTCTATATTTACCTATAAGAAAGAAGGTAGAAGAATGGTTTTAAAATGATATTACGAAGATTTTTAATAGTTGTTGATATCCTAAAACGACGAAAGTTTGCGGGCTATATTTTAATTATTGTTTTAAGTCTTCGGATTTTTTGCCTTATCGTGCAATAAGCATTATTCGATACAGCATGAACGTGGACGTGCTTTCAATATAAACAATGGAAATCTTTAAAAATCTGATTGTACAAGTTTGATATCATTTTATTGTAAAATTAGCGTCTTTGCCGCTTACTAATAATATTCAAAATGAAGTGGAAGTATATTTTACTGTTTTCGGTGTGTACTATAAAAATTGTATTGAGTAATGTTTATTAATTTTATAATTTAACTATCAAATGTAATAAACTTGGCATAAGTTAATTTTATTAATATACGTGTTAATTCCCTGTGTGCAATGCCGGAGAAATATTGGCAAGTAGTGACGTGTGCTAATTGTGATTTAAAAAAAAGGGTAAAGTAATAACGTCAACAACCCATGTAGCAACTTTGTCAAATACGACAGACAATTCAGAGTGTCATCCCATGGTGTAGCTACATATGTTGGTATCATATCTTGTGGTATTACCAAATAACACTATACAATGACATAGCTGTGGCTGTGATCTTCAATAAGAATACCATGTAGCAGTAGCTAAGAAAGGTTTATCACACCGTCTCAGAATGTAGGATTTATAAAAGTTGACTGGGAGAAACGCCTATAATTCCTAATGGCTTTCGATATATGTATCGACAGTACTCCTTTTCTGCCTCAGAGCCCATCTGCATGACAATATTTTTATACAGCCTATATACGTCCCACTGCTGCGCACAGGCCTCCGCTCTTTTCTGAGTGGGTTTGAGGGCAAGGAATTGTCCGCCGCGGTGCCCCAATGCGTGTTGGCGAACTTCACATGCCTTAGAAAATTTTTGTCCTATTTCTGCGATATGCAGGTTTCCTCACAATGTTTTCCTTCACTGCCGAGCACGTGGTAAAAATGTCTATGGTGCTGACGGGGATCGAATCCGGTTTGCTCGCGTACTATGAAATTTACAGCGAGCGCTAACTATCTGAGCTATACATTACAATTACCCGTATTATTGCTTTACCTATTACTGCGGCCAAATAGCGGTACTTGGAGGTAACAATGCACCTGAAGCCTTCTTTGTTTCGCTGCTGGTGTCTATGCACTGCAGTAGCAAGTTGTAGTATCATCTAGTGGACTGTAGGTCGTTTGTAGATTTAGTTTATTTTTTAAATAACAGCGCCAAAAGGGCAGTAACTTTAATACCGCGCGCCTGTCGGGCGTGTCATTGCAAATCCTTACTATAATGGTAAAGGCGCTTGTCAGCCGTTAGCTGGCTTTGTTAAGTATCTTTTTCTATATATGAGCTCTATTTTTGTTACCAAGCAGCAGTATAAAGATGAAGCTGAGTGACAATCCATCATAGTATTCAGCCGTGACAAAGTATCTGTAGACACCGTTGCTTCGAGTAATTTGCATATTTCCGTAGACTACAGACATCAGTATCAGTTTGTTTTTCACAATACTGTTATGTAAGTTTTATGAACATTGTAGTATAAATACTATAATAAACTAATGTGAATTTTTTATCCAGATCATGTTGCTGCTGGCATCTGTAGAGTCGCGACCTGGTCTCGAATTCACTTCAAGATCTTTTGAAGGCTCCGTGAAGACGTTGTTTAGTGATCTTTGGAGTTCAATCAAGCAATATTACAATAAAGCTGAAAGTTGGGTGACAGATAAATGGAAGGATATCACAGGCTGATACTGACGCTTTCATTTATAATATAAATGATAGGTTTTTCTTGCAAATTTTAGCTCATAATATATTTAATTAGATTTCCTGTAGAAGTTATATTTCCTATATTATAATTAAACTCAAGTATCGCTAGAAAATTATTTATTATCAGTGGAATTTGTATTGATTTTTGTACATAATAATTTATTCTTAACTTGTTAATAAATGTGGACGAAAGAAATATAACAAATTTTACCGATTTTATCACACTTCCCTCTAACATATTCTGAACTCCCAACATTTCTTTGCAGAATCTGATGTCATGGAGGTTTAGGTATTAATAGAAAACCGGTTTCATCATAAAGTTATATTAGATTAAAACTGACACACAGGTAGTCGAAATTTGTAGTTTAACCTGACTTTCAGCTGAACATAAGTAATAGTCCTTTTAAAGTTTTATAAATAAAATAAAAGTTATTGCTGTTTTCAGATATTTTTTATTATTATAACTGCAATAAAAATGCAATTTGTATTAACTGATAAGGACGTAAATATTTGTACATACACAAAATAGTGATTCATAATATATTTTCTTCAATGGAAATTGTTTGCTTTAAAAAAATGACAGCCATGTTACAAATATTCTCTACTGCTGCGAATAAATAAGGGTCCCTTCATTTGACAAGGTTATGATTTGTCGTGCAATTCCATTGTATTTATAGTGAAGTAGGTGACCACTGAAGTTATTATATATTTTGATTGAAACTCTATGCAATGTAAGTACCTAAATCTCTAACTCTAAAATTTATTTGTATAAAATTTTTATGTATCGTATAATTTCTCTAAATAAATGTTATGAGTAAATCAAAAAACATACAATAAGAGTAAATCTCCACTAACTAATACAAATAAATCTAAGAGATTTACTCATATCGATATTAGTTAACAGTTGCTTAAAATGTACGTTTTTGGAACTGCTGTGGAGCTTGGTGCCCGTTCATCTCAAAAAAATGATTGGTGAGCCTGACAACCTTGAAAGTGGTTTGTACTGGACTTGGCACCTTGTTACATCTATAAACAATATCTTTATATCAGGCAACAAGGACTTAAAAAATAGGAATATTGCCCATAACAATATATTTTAAATATATTTAACACAAGCGATGCGCCCCATCTTCGCACGGGCGATTTCTGGATCTGGACATCAGTGCCACTTACCGGGTTTAATTCAAACACTTTTCAGATTCGGACTCATTCAAACACAAAACAGCAATTGATTTTAATATATGGAAAGACTTCGCGATTGAGATACATTGTAATATATAAATATATATATATATATATATATATATATATATAAAATATATATTTGTATGTATATATACATATATATTTAAAATATTCTTTTTGACGGTCTTGAAGAAAAAGTAATATGTCTATTTTCGGTAAAGCAAATCCGTCATTATCAATCTTGTTGCGGAGTCAACATGGGAACAGATTTCGGTGCACATGGTGTTTTTTTTTTATAGAATAAGGGTGACAAACGAGCACACAGTCCACCTGATGGTAAGTGTATGCTGTGACCCCTAGACATCTTCATTTATTCTCGATTATGAATCTAAACGCATATGCGTTGTCACCCTGAGGACTAAGATGGAATGCCTTGTTTCCGATAAAAAAGTGTCTCCGGATCTCTACACTCACCATACGAAACACAGAAGTATTAAGCTGCTATTTTTCGCTGGTATTCTGTGAGAGCGTGGTCCTTCCCCGGTTGAACCGATCCATTCGTGCTACAACCATAATATAGCTGCAGCGTGGCTCTACCACGTAGGTGGTGCGAATATCTTCCCTTGTCGTGAGGATGGCGACGGTGGAGGAGCGTTCGACGTTTCAGTCAAGGATTGAAGTGGTGATGCAACGATGGCTGAAGTAATACTGGTTTCACGATTATTAAACTGCTGATGGACAGGTGACGAAGTTACAATCATCGGCTAAATAAAATGGCAACTAAAACCACGTATTATATTTTACACTCTGTGACGGCGTCAAATTCGCAGGTGTTACGTTTATGTAGGGTTAACATAGTGATCTTTCTCAGCTTCGTTACGGCTTTTTTCGATTCTTTCAATTTGAAACGGATGTTGGTGACTCCGGCTATCAACTTGGTAATTTCATTCAACAATCTGATCACGTACACGTGATTTGACGTCACGTTTGGTGGCAGCTTATTGAGATCACACGTCGTTGGGATGTTGTTAGAGTCGATCTCTTTTGAACAGCCTGAAAATGTCTGGCAGGTCTTTCCTACCAAATCATTCCCTATTCTGACGTATAATGAGACAGATTTTTAATTCAGAAGCTAGTTATCTGCTCCAGAGACACTAGTCCATGACGTCAAGTTCTTGGTGGACATAGACCAATACAGTCCGGCACAACGCAGGCCATTGCGAATTATTTTCGGGCAGTAGTAATGTTTACGCCAAGAAAATATTGTAGGTTCAGCATTAGGGTCACAGTATCGTTATGAAGCGACCGCACTAACCGGCAGAATGATCGCGACTTCTACTGAAATCTAAATAAATATATGCCTTAAACGTTTTTTCATACATTTATGAATCACCAATTCCTATTTTTGATGTGCGGTTAGTATAAAGCACAGTACTTAGAACTCCTAATTTAAAGTTTATAAATCATCTGGAAGTAGTTTAGGTTATAAATGAGTGACTCAGTGAATGATAAAAACTATTCTTTTAGACCATAATAACTCAAGAATTATAAAATCATGAAATTTGCAATTCTGCATATTCAAGGGAGCTTCATCAGACACGTAAAAAAAATTTATTATGTAGATTTGATAGTTTTTGAGTTATGCGAATTTTGAAAGTTATTTTCTATAGAATCAGGGTGAAAACGAGCACACAATCCACCTGATGGTAAGTGGATACTGTGGCCTATAGACATCTACTTTTATTCTCTCTATTTACAATCAAAATACGGATATCACCCCTAAGGACGTTTTACGTGGGAGAGCCACGCTGCGGCTATATTATAGTTCTAACACGAATGGGTTCACTCAAATGGGGCAGGACCACGCTCTCACAGAATACCAGCGTAAAGTAGGAGTGTAGGTAACGCTGCCGTGTTTCGTATGGTGAGTGTAGAGAACCGGAGATTCTTTTTACTGGAAACGAGGCATTCCATCTCGGTCCTCAGGGGTGATAATCATCTGCATTTTATTTCTTATCTGAGGATAAATGCTATTTTTGGTGTGTACTATAAAAGTTAAGAAAAATACAAAAAGGGTGTCCGGTTCTCGACACCTACCATATGAAACGCAGATGAAGCTGCTATTTTACGATGGTATTTTGTGAGAGCGTGGTCTTTTTCCGGTTAGGCTGATCCATTTGTGCTAAAATCATAATATAGATGCAGCATAGCTCTACCACATTTTAAGAAACGTATAAAGTAACCCGAAATAGATCGCGCAAATATACACACTCTCGTCTGTCGTGTCGCTCTTATCTTTTCCAAACATGGCTGACACAGTATCAGGTGTCAGTGACAAGTGTCGGTAGTAAGTTATATTATGAAAGCAATTATTTACCCCTCTTAGAAATGAGAGGAAAGCCTGGGCACAGCTGGGGTACGTGCATCGCCTGTAACCTATTAGTTATTTGTTATATAAGTTTTTTCATCTTCTACATCTTCAAAGCAGTTCAGCTAAGAATGTAAAAATGCGGATCTAAGAATGCTAGCAGTTTTCGTTTCGTTCATTTTATTTCGTTATTCGGTTTAGGACGTTACGTTGACGTTAACAGTTTATAGATAGGATAGACGCACAGACGAAATAATCCATTCTTGTATGAAAATGGACTTTAATAATACGCTGAAGGGAAAAATTAAATATCATTAGTTACTAGTCTCTTTATAATTGTAATAAAATAGGTGGGTTATAAAATTTCAGCCATGCTATTCATGCCCTACCGCAATCCCAGTCGAATATTCATCTGTATATTTATTTACCAATTTCAGTAACATTATACGAAACTGTACTTTCATGTCTAATTTAAACTGTGCCTTATTTCCGTTCTGTCATCTAATCATTGCGCAGATACCGAAGCGAAGTCAAGACAAGCTGATCTTTAATGAGATTCTAATCGAAATCCATGAATATTTCAATTTCTAGTAATTGATAAATTATAAAGACATACTACGAGAGTTTAAATGATTACATCTTAGTTTTCTTATACTTGCCGTTGGTACTCGTATATTAACTACACAATAAAATGAAGTCGACATCATGTTTTCTCTTACTGGTAAGTTTTTATTTTTTCTTTTACATCTTCATCAGCCTTTAAACACCTAGTGCTTGATATAAGCCTCTCCTGTTGTAGGAGTACAATCCATAATCCCCAGATTTGGCAGATTTATTGTAGCCGTGTAGTGGCAGTGTAAAAATATCCAGCTGGTAGAGTCATGCTGCAGCTGTAATAATTATATAGGTGTAGCACGAATGGGTCGGCTCGACCGGGGAAGGACCACGCTCTTACGACCAATCTGCTGTGTTTCGTATGGTGGGTGTAGAGAACCGGAGACGCTTTTTACTGGGAAAGAGGCATTCCATCCTCAGTCCTCAAGGCTGACAACGCATTTTTATTTTGATTCGCAAACGAGGATAGATGTAGATGTCTATGGGCCACAGCAACCACTTACCATCAGGTAGACTGTGTGCTCGCTTGTCACCCTTTTCCTATAAAAAATATAAAAAAAACCCATATCATTACGTGGATGTTGTAAAAAGCAATAGTAAGAAACAAATCAGGAGATAGGCAGAAGATTTTCCTAATACGACTAAAAATAATAAACTGAGGTTGCCATCCCGCTTGCTAAGCGTGGCAACTATGGCAAATATCCCCCTATGAGGGAGGCCTATGTTCAGCGGTGGATTTAATGGACTGTGGCGGTAGCTGCCGGCACAGTTAGTCTCGCGTCTTTGATGTTACTTCCTACTACCGGCCTGGTAT